GACGCGCCAAAGGGATAAGCGAAGATTGTGTGCCACACACACACACATCTGGGACCTGATCCAAACAGCTGCTTGTGAATGGGCAACCTTTTGGCAGCCACTAAGCAGTGGACGCTATGCATCTGCAGGTTCCAAAGCCATGTCCATTACCAAAAGATATCTGAGCATTTGGCTTGAAGAACTTTTGCCTGAGGTAACACGATTTTTTATATGTTATACTCTGTTCTAATGAATAATAAAGAAATACTTAACTAGGAGTTAAAAGCAGTCGGCTAACTTTTATACAAAAGCGAAAATCTCTACATTTAAGCATAAGCTAGGCGTTTTAATTCACTTTGGGGAATTAGGACATTTAGTCAAGAATTTAAAAAACAAAAACCAAGCATTCCATGCTGAGAAAGCGAAGATTAGATTTTGAAAAAGCAAGTCTGGCTTATCTGATAGACTCGGCACTTCTTGTGGAATACCAGAGGCTGCTTTAGAAACTTACCAGAATTCCCTTCCCTTTCTCCACCCCCAACCGAGTGCTTTACTCAAGAGAAAATGGAAAATTTGCAGAAATGTTCAAAATACTGCGAGGCATTCAAAATATTGAAGGCCACTTTTTGCGAGATAATTCAAATATTCTAATCAGATGCGATACGAACTGGTCATTGTACAAATTATATTTAATTTACTCAAAGCTACAGACATGAAAAAGCCGAACCTAAATAATTTTAATTGACGCACATTAAACTGAAATTACCTAAAAAAAAAAAAAAACAAACAAAACATTAATTTGCAAAAACAAAAAGGCGAAAAACGAAAGCCAAAATGAAAACTAAAAAATTGAAACTGCAAAACAAAAGGAAAAAAAATAAAGGCAATTAAATAAAAAATGCTCAGCGCTACCCGGCTAGCCACGGCTTTTTAGCCGGTACACGCACTAATTACCAAAAGTATTTTTCATTTTTTTTTGTACACAACAATTGCGAGTAGCCATGAGTTGTTGTTGTTGTTGTTGTGTTTTCATGTTTTCCACAATTAGATTTACGAACAAATGAAATTACCGCGCTTTCGTTTTAATTGTTGCCTGCTTATTGGGCAGCCGAGGTAGTCGGCATATCTGGAATTGTTTGGGTAATCGACAGTGTGGGTAACCACACCCGCACCCTCATCCTCACCATCCAGCCAGCTGCCTTATCGTTGGCTGGGAATCTGGCGATTATGGCTTGCATAAACCAGTTAATAACGCGCTTCCGCTTAAGTCAAATTTTGGTGGCCACGAAAATTGAGTGAAAATGCACTTGGAAAATAAACAAAATTTGTGTCGTAATGAAAGCAAGACAAATCGTCGTATCAAATTACCAAAAAAAAATTGTGGGCGGGCGCTTTAGTCAGGGGGGACTGTACACAGCCCTGCCAGGGCACCTGGGCTCTAGTTACACTCCTTCATATACACTCCCCCCTCCTTGCCAGTCATCATTAGCTGTCAGTCGATTATGTCACACGCCTGCCCCATTTTGTGGCAAGCGCAGCCATTTGTAATTGAATTAATGTTAGCTGCTGTTTTTGGGTTCGGGTTTGGGTTCGGGTTCGGGTATTTAGTTGTATTTGGCCGCCTGCTATTTATGGGCCAAATGACAGGCGATGTCGCCTTATCGCTGGCATTTGATCGCGCGACTCCACTAACCCTAACTAATCGCACGTAATTAAATATAATTTGGTATCGTTTACAGTTGCGTTTCGTTTCGTTTCGTGCCTCTGCACCGGCAGGTTGGCAGCCAGGCGGGGCTACCTATGTAGGCCACACTGAGATTATGCCAAACGCATCGCTCGCTCGCATAATTAACCCACCCTGAAATCGACAGAGCCCAAGAAAGCAGCAATTGCAGGCGTGAAAGTTTTTCATACTTAATTCAGATGAGATATAACAAAAATGAAATACTATTTTTGGAGAAGTATGAAAGAAATGTAAAAAAGCCAGACATATCCGCAGTTGGACTTATTTTTTTTACTGTGGTTACCTTATATGTTGAAGTTGTAGAAGTTGTTGTGGGAAAATGCACTCGCATCAGTCAGGATAGTTTTATATAGAGAGATAAGAAGAATAATCATAAAGCTTGAGAAAGTTCCCTATCAAAATGTGCGTTAGGTATATATGGGAATGATTCTTTACACTTAAATCCTCTTCCGCTCAAACGGAATATGTTATTGCCCCACTCAAAGCGAGGCAGACTGATTTTAGAAACGTTGAATCATTCTAAATCTATGTGGTCTTCCTTCTCTGCAACAACCTCATCAATGATTCCCATTAGCTGGGCTTGTGTGCTTTAAAAAAACTAAGTCCAAGCCATTTTAAGTTTTAAACAGAATTTAATTGAATCTAATGCTCATCTGAAATATGGCATAGAATGGCATATGCTCAGCACAGAGATCTATTTCACAGCATTCCATCTGGCAGTTGCATTCGTAGTCTGGTAATGAAGAGAACGCCTCGGACAGGCGATAAGGCTCACACACACACACACACATACGCAGAGAGGATGGATGGATGCACATAGCTGCAATTTGTTTGGCCCGGACCCGGTCTCTCAACATCAACTGGCACTTAATGTGCAGTTGGAAGTGAGCGCGCGCACGCCGAGGAAAGCTGAGGAAAAGGCAAGGAAAACGCGCAGCAGAAATAAAATTATTTAATTGCGCAATTAAGTGCACATTTGTAACGTTTTGCGCGACATCTGTCCCCAGGTCGATGAAGAAACGGTAGAGAGACCAAAGCCTCGGACCCAGAGACGAGAGACCAAGACCAAGACCGAGAGACCGGAAATTCAATTGTTGAGATAATAATTACATTAGGACGTGCGCGCATGCGCGACTCTGACGCGGACACAGACTCGAATTCAAACTGGAACTGGAAGTCAAAGTCGAGCTGGGACTCGGACAGAGCATATGGACTGACCAGGGACTAGAGCGTCTGGCCAGCTACTCCAAAATGAGCGCGCACACCTTGCGCGACGAGCTGATTGACACGGCCACATGGGGGACGCGAAGACCAAAGACCAGATAGCTTCCCCAGACGACCTGCTGTACATTGAACCCGAACCCGAACCTAAGCCAGTGTCCGTGCCAGTGCCCGTGCCCGAACCCAAGTCGAGCGGCCTTTTGTTTGCATTTCGCCTGTAAATGAAGCGTGAAATTGGCTTCAAGTGCAGCGACTGCAGCGTCGCATTGTTTACTTCTTGTTATGGGCCCCCGACAATGGTATAATACCTATAATATGTCCATATAATGGCAACACCAAACTATTTGTATGCAATTGCCATTAACACTTTATTTATTGCCTGCCCGAGAAGCGCACAGAGAGGAAGGTAGTAAGGGCGAGAGGGAGAGCGGCGCAGGGGCTGCAGCAGTTGCAGCTAAATGGAGCTGTGTGCTTGGTGCCGGGTTGAGGTTTAATGAAGTAGTTAGCCTGGTATGGAATGATTACAAATGGTCAGCAACAAAATAATCATACGGATCATGTAATAGCCCAGCGGCAGGCATTTAAATATAACATATATATCAAGTGAGTTGAATTTAATTTAGACCCAGTGCTGCCAAGTGAAGTCTGTGGAGCAGCGCGAAAATGTCTTAGAAAGTTGGTCAAACTCTTGCAACTCGAAAATTATTATAGTTATAATGCTGCATTTTATTAGAGCAGAAGCATAGATAAGTCTTTTTAATTTAAAGCTTCAGGCTAAATAAGGGGAAACGGAAGTAGAGCTAACTTAAACACAGTTCAAGCCATGTAAGAAAACGTGGCGATTGTACTCAAAGCGATCAAAACCGAATCAAACCTATATATATATATATGTACTAACTAATAACTAATCATAGCAGCGTTAAATTAATGTAAATATTACGAAAAGAGATGATATAATATGAATATGTATATCATATAAAATGGGAAATTAAAAAAAAATATATATTCCAGCAGCATGGCACAAAAACCAAGTTGGCTTTAGTTATAATATATTATTTATATGTTTTGTTAGTTGCGCCAAGAATCAGCCATTAATATCATCTATAACAGGACAATTAGGTTAAATTTAGAAGCCACGTTCTGTCAAATGGACTACGTTCTCTTGTTAGTTACCTTTATAAACATAATTATTATACTTAATGCCCGTTTAGCTGTACACCATTTTGCCCCGCTTTCCCCTTTCTCTAGCCATATCAGGCAATTAAGACCCTTGACAGTCGCCTCGCAGTTGGATTCAATAAACCAACAAAGTCATTTACGAGGCCCTTAACACTATCCAACAAGAACAACAACAATTCTCAGCATATGCGTGATAGCTAAATTATTTAATTTACGAGCCGCAACAACAGCGGAGCAAAGGGAAATGGTTGAAGAGCTGCGAATGCATCGATAGAAAACGCATGCGAAAGCAAACAAAAAGTCGGGGAAATAAATTTCCATTTTGCTAATCAAATTTATTGCACTTTGTGCGAGGCTTATTCAATTATGTGCCACTCCACACACACTCGCGCACACACACATACGGATGAATACACATGTGAGAGCGAAAGCGAGAGCGAGCGAGAGGCAGGACTGCAGAGAGAGAGCTTTACAGCTTTACAACGCCGACAGCGGGCCGGTTAGCCGCCATTATTCGAGCGCTCATAGGTCGATGCTGATTGGCAGCGGCATGCGCTCTCTCGCTCGCACTGCAGCAAAGAAAACAGAGAGAGAGCGAGAGTTAGATTGAGCGAGGCGGAGCGCTGCTGCGCTGCTCACCTGCCGGCCCGACACCTGTGATCCGTTCATTGCGATCGCGCCTGCCTCGATCGCATCGCGCTCTCTCGTTTCAGCACACGGGCCTTCCAGCAGCAGCAGCAGCAGTAGCAGCTGGCGGCAGCTTCTCTCCAACAGCCAAACAACCGGTTGTTGGCGTCTGCGGCCCACCTGAAATTTTTGAAATTTGTGCCGGCCTCGCTGCCAGCCGCCGCCTGCTCTTTGTGTAGTTCGCTTGCGGCACTGACGGAGCCCGGTCATCAAAAGCCGTCGTCGTCGCGCTCGAGTCTTGAGTCTGTTTCATGTGCCGTTTACCCGCAGTTCTCTGTGTGTACGTGTGTATAGGTGTGTGTGTGTGTGCTAAAACTATTACCAAAATTGAAGATCTAATAAACGGGCTGATCTAAACGCAATATTCAATTTATTCGAGTAGCTGTTGACTTGACAACAATTGAAACAGGGCTTCTGTGCAAAGACCGTCGGCAGGTGTTTCGGTTGTGTGTGTTTCGCAAAGGTTCCTTGAAAAAAACCAGAAGAAACTAACAATATCGATAACGATAACGATAACCGTGTAAAGATCACTGCATAGTCACAGCTCTGCATTACAGCTATAGTCTTTAGTCTAAGAAGAAGGTAAGTGAATCGTTTTTAAGCACAAAATTATAATGAATTGAATAAGAACGTGAAAGTTTTAAAAAATATTCATAAAAATACTAATAATCATACCTCAAAGGTAATTAAACTTATTTAACTTACATTATTGAAATTTATATAAGTTGTTTTGAGTTTTCACCCATTTTCCACGCGACAAGTTTTAATGTAGTAGTAGTAAGTTCATTGTTTGGGAATAGAAACCACCCATGTTCCACACAGCGTCGGGGATTCGATTACGGGCAAGCCCATATGGGCTAGATACAAGATAATAAAATGTCAAACACACGCGCCGATTTTCCCAGAGAAGTTTTTCAAATCGGTTGTAAGACGTATTCATTGTTGTGTGGCATAGCGCTTTAAAGTTAGTTTCTTAGTTTCTGGGAAGATTCTCCACAGATTATCCCCAAAGGAAACTGTTGATATACATGGCTCTTATTGATTAGATAATTTATATACACATAACTCACACCCATTCTACAGACAGTAACATCTAAGAATCACATAAGTTTTGACCCACATTGTTATCTACACGAAATTCCTAAACTGTGATCTTTCTAAGCAGAAATATCGTTGTCGGAATTAAATATATTCCTATAAGAACTGTGAGATCTCACATAATCACAATTACCTCAGTCTATGCTCTCACTCTCACTCTATCTCCCCTTCGCTCGCTTTGATACCATCATCTATTCAATATTTGTCTTACAAAATAACCTAGTTTTGCGTTACGATCGGATAATATTACATATTGCACAAGTCGAGTAATCAGGGTAATCGGTAATCGACAATCACCCATTCCAGAAATTTGACTAAGAAAACGAAAATTAAATATCATTAAATTTGATTAATTCACTTGGACATATCGTATCGCCATGTACGAGCACGTACCTTAACTAGCCCAAGCAATCGACAAAATATTATTATTATTATACGTTTTTGTCTTCATTTTTTTTTTTTTTTTTTGATTAACCGTAGTTGGGTATTTATGGACTATGCCACATGCTGATAGGACGATGGGCTTATCGCTGATTGGCTTTAATTAAACACCATTAAAGAGTACAAAAAATTGTCAGAGTCTGAGTCGTTGGTAAATAAATCACGTTTTGTCATTGTGATGTTTTCAAAATGTTTGCCTAATCGAATAGCAATGAAATTTCCACTCGTACACATTGTGCTACAGCAACAACAAACTAAATGAAATTAACTGGCCGCAATTATCAAGACGAGATAATCATGTCAAAAAGCTAGTCGAAAGGCTGAGATATGCTTGGGTCAGTCAAGTAATACGAGTACGAATCCGTTTAGATAAGTCAAGTCATATCAACGTCACGTCAAGGGTGGGTTTCCTTTCCGCTTCGCACCGTTCCGTTTCTTTCCGTTTTACTTCTTTATACTCTTGCAGAGAGTATTACAATTTTGTCGTGAAATCTGTAACGCATAGAAGGAGACAGATCCGAACCCATATATATACATATTCCTGATCAATATCAACAGTATCCATCTAGTCTCTCAGTTTTAAAGCTATCTTTATGAAACCTTGCAGAAATGCTTCTTTCTGTTGCAAGCAGTATATATACCGGAACCATTATATCATATAGTTGCCATAGAAACGATCGGTCGAAAAGTAGGTTCTTGTATGATAAATGTTTTGTTTATCAAGATATCTTAACCAAACTCCAAACTAAGTTTCACTCAGTTAACTACTTTTATGCAAAATCTTATTTGCATCGGATCTCTATATCATATGGCTGTCATAGGAACGATCGATCGAAAAGTAGGTTCTTGCATGGAAAACTTGTTTACTATTCAAGATATCTTAACCATACTCGGAATTAACTATTTTCCATATGCCCACGAGCACTATGAGCATTAAGAAAAGGTTGGCTCTGCAAGGGTATTAAATCTTCGACAAGCCGAAGATAGCCGTTCTTTCTAGTTTCTTTTTCTTTGTGGTTTGTAGAAGTATCTTGACGAGTTTTGGTTTCCTGGCGATAATCGATAATTTTGCTCTGATTTAATTAATAATAATGCGCATGTGACTTGTCAATTTCGTTTAGACTGTGACGCAAATTGTCGGCCCTATCTATGAGGTAGCATCAGCTGCAGATAGTGTGGGCCACACAAAGATCTTCGCATCCGATTAGATAGTTCTTTCTTTCTTTTTTAGGGGGTAAATTAAAATATGTTCCACGCCAAAATAGCAATTGAGGTATTTGCAGCCCAATTCAATTAGGCCAACACACAATTAAAACTTGTCCACAGATAGCGTCTCGCTGCAGTTCGTATCTAACAGATACAATGGTTGGTTATCAATTCCGTCTTCGTGCTGGCTACACAACCAATGCGACACATTTCCCAATTTGTCAGAGAGAAAGAGAGAGAGAGAAAGAGAGAGAGAGAGAGAGAAAGAGAGAGAGAGAGAGAGAGAGAGAGAGAGAGAAAGAGAGAGAGAGAGAGAGTGAAAGAGACGGGGACTAGAAATACACTGTACAACACAAACTAGGCGCAACACCCACGCTCTCAGCTTTGAGCCGAGATAAGAGTCGTGGCGCCAGGGTTCGAACCCGGCCAGCTCATTGAGAGCTGTGCATATGCTTCATTAATTCCAGCCAAAGCCAAAGCCAAAGTCCGGGCCCAAATGGAACATGCGAACATGAAATATCAAGCAGAGACACAGTCCCCAAATTGCTCGGCGTCCGTCTGCGTCCCCTTATCAAAGCGTACAAGACAATGACAAAGGGCAGAAACACGGATGCACCAAGTCTCTCGCTTTCTGTCTCAGCCTCAATCTCCAGTCTCTGTCCCAGCCTGAATAAACTTAGCCAACAAAGCAGAAGGCCAGCGCCAGGCGTCGAGCAACAGTTGTTCGGCTACAGCTTCACGCCGCCGCCCGCTCCTCCCGCCTACCGCCACCAGCCTTTAGCTCCTCCTTGGTCAGCGTTTTTAACATGCATTTTATGAGTAATTGGCCTCGCATCATCCACATCAACAGCTACCCGGAACGTCGGGACCTGAGTCACTGCGGCTGGAGCCTGAAACGGCGACTACCTTTGGCTACCGTCGACAACTCTGCCATTAGGGTGGCCAAGGCGCAAAGAAAAACAAGAAAGGAAAACCCCTGCAATGCCGCAACGAAGTGCTAATACCCTTAAGGATTGTTACTTAGATTTAAACTGAACATGGAGGACAGCGAAGAACATTTGGCGATTATTTGGGTGTATTCTTATGATCATGTTGGACAGAATTGTAAAATGACCATGGAAAACAGAGGGTAGCAGAAAGTGGCTCTTGAGAGAGGTGTATGCTGTTGAAATACCATAAAAAATCTCATATATTTAAATAGTATACTGAGCTCAAAGTGGCCATGGAGGACATTTATTGGCAGAAAATGAAAATTTGTAGGAGTAACTGCTTAAGGCCAGGCTGAGATCTGAAAAGTCGAAGCAAATAGTTTTCTGTTCTTGGTGGAGTAGTCTTAAAGTGACCATGGAGGACCAGGAATATCAGATAAAGTCCGTCTATGTAGATTCCTTTAAACAACTTTTTAAAGACGCAACTTTTTACATAATATCAATTGACCAAAGAGGTTAGCTGCTAACAGATATGGACAATGGGGCAGAGTTTTGGGGCGAGGCTTACAAAATTAAATAAAATAAATAAAATAATACAAATAATAATAGGAGCTAAAATTCGTTCTCACAAAAAGTTTCTTTTAGTAAGGGTATCCGTCAGTCGTTGTGATTGTCTTTGATGGGCAGTAAATTGAATTAAGATTGCGCCATCAACAAATGAGGCTGCCGTGAGACTTCGACACAGGATATGAATAAACTAATTATAATTGGGTGTGTGTGTGTGTGTGTGTGCATTAGAGGCCCATAATGTACCAATAGCATTGTAAAGTCTCGCCCTATGCCCGGCGTCTGGGGCACAAGAAGAATGCTGTCTTATCGCACCTGGCGCGTCCAAAGCCGGCGCCAACACGAGCAGCAGCAGCTCAGGTGCAGGCCTCGGTCTCTGCTCTGGCTATCATTTTTATGTTATTTCGTTTGGTTTTTTTTTTTTTTTTTTTTGTTTTCGGGTGACTCACGAAATTGTCGCTTGTCTGCGCTTATACCAAATAAATAATTGACTTTATCAAGTGGGCAACAAAGCAGGTGGGTTCACTCTCTAATCCATCAACTGCAATTGAGGACGTCGAAAGGTGGAAGGGAAAAGTGGGCAGGGGGGGACCACACAGCATTATCGTTATGATGAGCACGAGCTTTGCGCCACCCAAAAAGCTGGCCAGGGCTTGGAAGAGGGCGCTGGTCTGATCATCAAAGTGTGACTAAAGTGGTTTAGCCTAATGTAAACCCATAAATAAGCTGCAGCAGATACCAAGCAGCTGAGCCTGAGACCTGGCCGAACAGACGCATTAACAAAATGCCAGAAATGAGCTTCTGTTTGGGCTGCTCTACCTGAACCGATCGGTTGGCCCGGGCCCGTTTCCATTTAATGAAATATGCCAGTCCCAGTTGCAGTCCGCCGTCCGAGGAGCGTGTGGAACACAAAAGTGCAGCCATAAAAACGACACCAAGCGACATGGCGCAGCACAGCGGGCAGCAAGGAGGCAGCTTAAAGGATGGACAGGGCAAAACATTGATGCTTATCGACGTGACAGAAGTGTTTGGAGGACCCTCAAGCAACTGTGCTGTACCGCATCATTGTTAGAGTACACGCATGTGCGGTTTGTTATTAGGCAATAATTTCTTAATTTCTGCACTTGTCGGCAGCAAGGACAATAAATACATGTATTGCAAAAATGCCCGACTAGTAGATACCCTAAGCTGAAGACCTAGCTGATTTTATGCAGTTCCTTTGCTTCTTCCTTTTCCCTCAGCTCCCTCCCCCCACCAATGAAACGTGCATTCCTAAACAACATTTTTTTCGGGCTTCAAAATGGCATACAAGAGTGTGTATATACCAAAGAACAAGGATTTTGCCCCAAGCAGAATCCATTTTTTTTTTCTAATTTTTGGCAAAACTGGGAGGAGGTATTCAAAATAAACGATATCTGAAATATTACTCATTTGTATATACTATATAAATACAAAAAAAATATTATAAAAATTGGAGCAGGCATTGAAAACGAAGGAATAAATATGCACAACAAAAAGCCAATATGCTCTTTACACTTTATGAACAGCGTATAATTAACTTGGAAACCCACACGCAGCTCTCACAATGTTGGCAACAAGAGTTGCTCTTAAATAATTTCCAGACACTAATGGAGCTTATCTCTAAACGAAACAAGCAACCGCAAACAAGTCTGGCCAGCACGTAGAAGAAGAAGCACCAGCTGCAGACTGACTGACTGACTGACTGACTGACTGACTGACAGACTGAGTGACTGGGGCTGAAAGACTGCAGACTGCGGAGACTGTAGAGACTCCTGAGACTGGCGCTTGACTTGATTAGCATGTGAGCCCTAAGCAAGACAGTCGCCACAGTGTGTCAAACAGTTGGGCACGACGAGCTGGTCAGTCATCCCCTTCCCCTTTCCCCCTCTCCCTACCACTTCTAGTGGACGAACCCCTCACAGCGGGGGTAGCTGCTGCTGCTGCTGCTGCTGCTGGCCAATTGACCATAGCGGGAAAATCGCACTATCTGCAATTGGGCAGAGCAAACGCAGCGCTAACTTGATTAGTTCTGGCCAAGCTCTCGTAAATAAAGCCATGAAAGCCAAATAGCTGTAAACATGGCCAAGAGCTGTTGCTGTTGCTGGGTTGACAGTTGCTGACTGAAAAGTTTTTTAATTACCGCCGCCGAACGCAACCGTCAATCACAGTCCCAAACACTTTGTTCAACTGACTCCTGCTCCTGCTGCCCAGTCCTGATTGCTCCGTGGCAATAATAAAGTCGTAACGCGTTTACAATTATAAGGCGGTACGACAACAAAGCCAAACGGCACACATTCTCCGCATAGCTGAACGAAGCCAGAGAGCACTTCCACATTTTCTGAGCGAGCGGCAGTCAAGCTGGAGTGTCTACTGTACACCGACATTGTATCTACACAGTTCGCATGCAATGAATTAATCAGCGCTTTTTTATGATCTGAGATTAGACTGGTGGGAACGGGCGGTATAGGGGGGTAGGTGGGGCTCGCCTTCATCCTCAGCATAATTGCAATTCGTACAACTAATTTAATAATTTGCAGCCGAGTCTTACACAAATTAAGTTTGTCAGCTGTCAATGCGCGGAATTTGTTAACAACATTGAAAACTGACAGTGCGAATCATCATAAAAGTTATTAATGATGAGAAATGAGTTATGAACTGACGGATGTGTGTAAAAAAAAAAAAAAAAACAAAACAAATAAAACAACTTCAGCCATGAAAAAAGTCAATTGCAACAACGAATTGCGAATACTCTGTAAAGGCTCAATCAATATAAAAAATTAAAAAGTGAACGACAAAGGAAGTTGGAATTGATTGAAAAGTAAAATGGGTGAATTAAAGTTTCCTTGAAGTTAATAAGTTCTGTACTTAACGATATTTCGATATTCGTTAAATTTTTTCCCCGATATACTTTGTAATTTATTTCGATTTCATGAGAAAGCAATTTAGTCATTTCAAAAGATTAAGAACGTTTGTGTCAGGAAATAATACGTTACAAAAGCTATCGATAAGTCGTGAAGGCATTCGATTAGTTAAGTTGCTTATCGATAATTCGTTATCAAATTAAATATAAAATATGCTAGCAACAAATTGTGCGTAATAAAACTTACGATGACCCCTGTGCCTATCGATAATCGGCACAGGGAGTAAATATAGTTTTCTTGTTTCTCTGAGCTCGATGATTTTTTGCCTATCGATATTTGTTAAGGATGGGCATAATAGCCGAGCTCCTATATAATATATAATATTTTGTAAAATCTTTTTAAAAATGGAACACAAATACAGGTTTAATACAAATACAAAAGTAAATTGCTCGATCACTTATGGGCCTATCGAAAGCTTATAAAGTACAATAAGGTAGAGCTTATGGGAGAAAGGATATTAAAATATTCAACTTCTCTACTGTTTTAAACATATCGGCCAACATAGCCATAATGCCCTTACTTGTACCTCTATCCTGTCAGTGACATGGCAACACAGTTCCTAATGATCATTGTCTCGCTCTGCCGGCTACCCATTAATGATGTTGTTGTCTGGAGCAGCGGTTGCAACTTCATTCGGCGCAAGAATGCAACTAAATCAATCAGAAGCACACTAATTTGCCATTTAACAAGGTATTTGGACAATTTTGATATATGTATTCAGCCAGGCCGAGGCGAAATGTCAACGGTAGCATCAACGAGAACGACAACGACAACGCCAACTTAGGGACGGGGCCATCAATCAAGCAGCCATTGAAGCCCCCGGCACGGCAACGATGCGACGGCAACGATGCAACGATGAGCACCTACAAAAAGCATTCAACATACAAAACGAGAAATCCGAAGTACTTCTTCGAGACATTGGCACTGGGAATGCATTGTGACGCTTACATTTTGGAGCTAACCATTTACTTAATTGTCATTAAAGCGCATTGTATATTAATTAGCAAAACATGAAATTAACAAAAATGTTGGAATTACCGAAAAGGTCGCTCGCTGACTGACAGCAGCCCCAACAACTGGCACCTGATACCAAATATACAGTTCTGATCTGAACACGTCAATACACGGCCAAAAGGGGTGAGGGAGCGAGTAGGGGAGGGCGGCAACTCCGGTTGCGGTTGCAACATTGCAGCCGTTGATGATGATGAAAATGAAGTTGCCGCCCAATTTAATTAAAATTCCAAACGATCTGCACATGAAATGGCCAGCAAAATAAACGCAGCTCGTGGAAACGTGTTGATGAAAGATCAGCTGTGCCTCGACTCCGGCTGTCTCTCTAGGCAGATGGCCGATGCCATCGATTTGCATTGAGTACGCCGCAGCTGCCGCTGCCGCTGTTGCCCAGACCAGACCATGGCCATAAGGCACGCGGCCAGACCACAACACTACGCAGCAGGGTATTAGGACCAGGCTGCTTATTTATAACAGTTAACAAAATGTAGACTTTCTTAAAAGCTCAAGCACATGTTGAGAGGGAATAACCTGGTGTCTTAAAGCGAGCTTTCAGCTTTACTGTTTGTGTAAAAGAAATTTATTGCACTTAAATGCTTGTGGGTTTAAAATAAAATAGGCATATAGCTTTTTTTTAAGCTTTGGTGCTTTTGAGCCAAAATAAATATGTATATATGTTAAATATCTTAACTTTATAATAAAGTTCATGCATATATACAGAGACAAGTATTGTCTTAAAGCACATTCTGTAAAAAGCGCGTTCATTGAGCTTTAATGTTATTGGTAAATTACATTTGTTGATCTAAAAGCTTAGTTGCGTATTCAATAGCAAATTTGGCAATCGCTCTAATGTGCTTGCATAGAAAATAATTAAAAACGTAGCTTATCATTCTAGCTTTTGGATTAGTGAGCTGTAACGCTTCATAAAGTCGAGTTTATCTCAATCGATTTTTGACTGTCCAAGTAGTCTCTCGAGTTCCTAAAAAAAATTGGTTTAATATCTCTGACTTCAGAGTGTATCAAGTATTTGTTTTGTTTGTTGTCTTGTGTAATTATTAAGCTACAAGCAAAGCGCAACCACAACAGCTAAGCTCAGTGCCGACTCGGAGCCTTCATGGCTATTGAAAATTATAGAAATTGGCGTAATAAAGTGTACGATAATTGCATGTTTAGTTATGATTGAATTACGAGCTTCTAATGCGAGACTAATTCGCTGTGCATTTCTTTGTCTCTCTTAGCAGCTGCCCGCTGGTAACTCGGCCGAATCGCTGCCTCTTGGATTATGGGCATATCGGAGGAGGTCAAGCTGGAGGAACTACCGCAAGAAGCCAAGCTAGCACACCCACATCCGGATGCCGTGGCCGAACGTGGTGTGGCATCCGCCTCGGTCACTGCTTCTGGTGCGGTGCCCAGCGGCGCCAGCGGCGGCACCAACAGCCCCATCTCGGATCCCAACAGCGATTGCGAGGCGGATGAGTATGCGCCAAAGCGCAAGCAGCGCCGTTATAGAACGACCTTTACCAGCTTTCAGCTGGAGGAGCTGGAGAAGGCCTTCTCGCGCACCCATTACCCCGACGTATTTACGAGGTGAGTTAGAAACCGAATGACAAAAGATAATAACCAAATAAACGTAATTTGCATAAATCGATTTAATAGTCCGTCTGTGGCCGCAAAAGAAAGAAAATCCGGCTATAAAATGATATGATATGACCCCCTGTGAGCTGTTCCAACTATTTGGAGCAGCATGTAGTCTCAAATTACGCTGAAAAGATTTTCAAATCGGTGTCAATTGAGATCCCCTAGGGTACAAGTAAATTCAATTAACATGCAGAAATGCAACAAGATATAGAAAACTGCATTAATAATTGCCATAAATTAGAAACACGCCTCTGACGTACCGACCAAACGACCAGAACTGACTGCAACCAGCCGCTAATTGGATTTGCACAAAAAAGCAACAGCAACAACAACAAAGAAACATTTGTAATAACAACAATTAGAGCAACTTTTTGTGGGCACTCGTCGGGTTTTCATTTCATTAATGCAACCAGTTTAAATGCTTCACAATTAATTAGGCAAATAAATCACAGTATCTCTGTTTACACTTACCTCGATTGATTGACATGAGAATTATATAGAGCGGTGACAACGGACAGTTTAGCTGCAATGAGAATCGCAAAGAGAGGCGTTAGACAGAAGTGGTGTAAATTAGAAGAAAAAAAAAAACATTGAATATTGATTGCGGTGCGATAAATATCTAATTTACATGAAAATGTAATTTCCATATAATTGTATATATTAATTATTTGTTCATTAATTTGATCATTAATTGCAAGCACAGCAATACAAATGCAATGTTTTTTTTACATTAAAGGTATATTGCCTTAAAGTTTTTTTTGTCTGACCATTTTTCTTTCTTTTTTTTTCTCTTACAGAGAAGAGCTGGCGATGAAAATTGGATTAACCGAGGCGCGGATTCAGGTAAAAGCCCAGCACCCTAGCCATACAACCAATTGTGGTTCAGTCCGATTAGCGTGCTTTAAGCAAAGTTAACAATGTTGAAAATTGAAAAATAATGGAGCATGTCGCCCCTAATGAAAACGCTTCAAGACATCTTTGGCCCATAGCCATAGATTGGAGCGAGCGGAAATCTTGCTGCCAATTTTTAGTGCCGAGTCATTATGAGCTGATCCGGTTGGGGCCTGGCTTTGATCTGGTTTTTTAATTACCGCTCATGCTAAACAACATTATTTGTTTACATACAAATTCTAGCGGTAATTGCCAGTCGAGGCCCCAAAGGGACACAGACTCAGGCTCAAGCTACAAGGCTTCCAGCTTCCAACTTCCACTTCAGTTTGGACTCGGTCTTGGACTGGCGCTGCAATCAGCCACCGTTCTCGACACGAATTCAGATTGTTATGTTAAAAACTAATTAAATGGGCGTTTTCAATAGTCACGCCCATTAATTGGCTGCCAGTGGCAGGACACAGTAGCCTGTATTAAACACATAACTCAACTCTGGCTCAACTCTTCCCCCTTTTTTTTGCGCCCCACTCGTGTAGGTCTGGTTCCAGAATCGACGCGCCAAGTGGCGCAAGCAGGAGAAGGTTGGACCGCAGTCACATCCATACAATCCGTATCTGCCGAGCGGCGCCGCCAGCATGCAGCAAGTGGTAGGTGCCGCCCTGCCGCCCAATCCGTTTACCCATTTGGGCTTCCAGCTGCGCAAGCCATTCGATGCGCCCGCCAATTTGGCCGCCTTTCGCTATCCGCACTTGTCGGCAGCACCAATGATACCATCCGGCTACTTCAATCAGTTCCAACGGTAAGCGAGATAGTTGATTATTTTTGCTTTTGGTACTTAAGCTAAATGCTTGCTTGTCCCTTTTGCAGTGCACCGCCGCACATGCTGCCGCCAGGCATGGCTTCCATGTATTCGCCCTCGAGCTCCTTTCAGTCGTTGCTGGCCAATATGACGGCTGTGCCGCATGGCCGTGCGCCGCCCATGCCCGCTTTGGCTGCCAAGCCGCCCATGCTGGTCGGCTCACCGGATCTGCATTCGCCCAATAATCATATGCTGGCCTCGCCGCCCAACTCGCCCAGCTCACAGTTGTCGCAATCGCAGTCGCAGCAGCCGCCGCCGGCGGGCCAGTTATCGCCACAGCAGCTGGTTGGCATCTCGCTGACGCATCAGGCACCACCGGCCGGCTCGCCCACACAGACGGCGCCTGTCGCTTTGACCTTGGCCCACGGCCATGGGCACTCACCGCAACGGCAGCTGGCGCCGCCGCCAACGCGTGCTGCCACGCCGCCCGAGGATCGACGCACCTCGTCCATAGCAGCGCTGCGGCTGAAGGCGCGCGAACACGAACTGAAGCTGGAGCTGCTGCGTCAGAATGGCCACAGCGGCGATGTGGTCAGCTAGCCAAGCAGCTATCGTACAATCCAATTGGTTAACTGTAGTCCTAAGCTCCTAAGTTATTCGAAAGCGGACCTTGCATTTTATGTTTGTAACAGAATTCACGGAATTTCCATTAATAAAACCAAGCACAGACGTCAAAGTGTTTGTGATATACACACAAATAAATCCTCTCTCCATTTTTATTATTCTCTTTTATGCCCTCAGTCCATTTAACATGGGCAGAAATGGTATAATTTGTGCATGTTATGTAACAGAAGGTAATATCTCCGACAAAGAAAGGAATATATATATATTTGGAAGCCATAGTTAAACCCTAAACTTTAAATAGAGAAAGAGCCCTCGAATGTGCGTAACGACGCTGGTTACAGGGTACCTCCTAGTCAATCACGCACCACTAGAGCACTCTTGTTTGGTTTTTTGTTTTTTTAGCTGGCATCGAGAAATCACGTAATGCCCACAAATTACATTTAAGCCGAGTTATACAAATGGCCTGGCCCTAATGTGCGTAACAACACCTAGTTGGGAGCAAGCGCTAACAGGGCCAACAACTGATTCACAGCCACTTGGACAAGCTAACAGGGAACAGCTACTAGCCAGGCAGGTCGGATGCCATTAATCAGCAGACTGTACATAAATCAGCGCTGGCCAAAAACAAAAACCACAAGCCGGGCGGGTGCTACAAATATAAATTTATGAATAAATTAGAAACAAATTAAGTATGTTAATGAGAGCCAGCCCAAAAAAAACGAAGATACCGAACGCATCTCAAAACGAATCACAAACGAATGTCGAACGAATATACAAGACAAAAAAAAAGAACGCCGCTTAGCGATTTCTCTCGTTTATACCCTGTAAAATAGCTGATATATGAGTATCACAAAGTCTAGCATAACTAATATAATCGAACTAACATGCACTTTGTTCCAGAAGTGCACTTTCAGATAAGTTTCAAATTTATTTAAAAAAAACAAACATAAGCAAAAGACTTAGGCAAAGAACTCGAATAAAAGACTTAGGCAACGAACTTGACTAAAAAAATTAGGCAACGATCTAACTGGTAAGATTTTTCACGTTTTTAAACTGCAAACAGAATTTCAGAGAGGAGCTTTGTGTTTTGGGTGCAAGCATTTTGACATTTGGAATATTTTATTTATAATATCAAGAATAAAAATTAATTATTTTTTAATCAGCGCAATTATTTGAAAGATAAGATCATGAGATTAAGTGTACGCATACATTAGCATCTCATAACACAAACCAGAAAACTTAATGGCATTCGCTAAATTTTTTATTACAATTACATAAACATATAAGCGAGATAGTCGGGATGTTTAGTGCACGTGAGATGCTTAAGACGAAGGGTTAATTAAATTGTGTAGAATATAGATTTCGATTAAAATAGGGTATAAGTAAAATGCATATAGAGTAAGTCCGAGTCGCGCACTCTTGACTAGTTCATCTTTTTCTCGTTCTCTTTTTTGGTTTTCGTATATTTTTGGCTTGAATTATGCGTGGTAATTAATAAAATGGAATATTTATGATAACATTTATAAAACACGAAGCTGCTTAATTCGATTACCAGATATTTTTTTTGGTTTGCTCAAAGCTGAAAGATGCCCCTCAAAAGAGGAAAACGGGCCACATTGCCCGGTAATTGCCATCAAAAGGTGGAACTGTGATAATCATGTTTAACCAGGGCCCTCGGGGGTTCTTCGACTGACTTGCTTCAGTTTTCGATTTGTTGTTGTTGTTATTGTTGTTATCTTCTTCAGATGTGGCAACGCTTCATGCATTTCAATGAGTTCGTCAAATGCAAAAGCTACCCATTAATTTGCATAATAATCAAGTCTCAGCTTTATGGATGGGGCGGAGCGTGGCGGGGGGTGCTGCGAGACTTATATTTAGTCTGGGGCTGAATAATGTGATACAAAATATCGGGCAACAACCGATATTAATAATCATTAATTAAGCCGACTAATTAACGCTGACATTAAAAGACTGCATTTTAATTACGATCAAATCACCTAAGCCCAACCTCCGCCCCCCTCCCATTGACCCCTCTCTCCCTTACTAACTTGTGTTTGTAAACAAAAAGCAAACAACACAATCGCTGCAGTTGTTCATGTTTTTTGTGCTCGACTAGTTTATTTATATTGCTGCTGGTGCTTTTTGTGCTGCTTCCTCTTCTTCTATGCGGCGGGGGGCAGCCCCCGCTTAACATCTCTATTTGCAGTTGCATTTCATTTGCACAAACATTCGTTTAAAACGTTTTTTTAATTCAATTTAACTTCAACACAACTTAATTGTTTTTCAAGAGCAATGAGCACTGAACTACAACAACAACAACAAATAATAACAACAACAACAAAAGCAACAACAACAAGCATAAGAAACGTGAGCTTGACGACGGCAACGGCTGCCGTTTATTTTATTTTTATTTTTTTTTTAATTTTTCTGTAAGAGCAAATGTTGTTGTTGCCGCTGGGATATGTAATTGCATGTGAGTGTGCGAGTGTGTATTAGTGTGCGAATGTGTGTGTGTGTGTGTGTGTGTTTCGTGTGTCGGCGCAATTAAGTTTGCGTTTAATTTGCAATTATCCAAACGACTCAAACTAATTAGCGCCACTTTGATTAAACTTTGCAAAATTGAACAATTTTTTACAAGGAGAATAAAAACAAAAAATAAAAATAAAACAAGTGTGCAAAATTGAATGCAGAGAAAACCACAACGAAAATTATGATAAGAAATTACACTTACAAATATACTCCACAAAAGAATATCTTATAGATATATACGAATTCTAAATCAGCTCTCGAGGCTGCCAAATGAAATAGAATCTACAATTTCCTTTAGTTTATTCACGAATACCCATGATTATATTCAGCTGAGCGCTTATCTAACAGCTTGCCTGAGATATATATTCTTCGTATCAATACATATCATCATCATCAACAGCGACAACATCGTCATCGGCGATTGTGAGAAACAACATTAGCTTAATTTAATAAATTCAAAGAGCACAAAACAAAAGACTTAGGCAACGAACTTGACTTGAACGAAACATAAGTTAAGCTTAAAGCAGAAAACCAGATATGAACCTGCGCTTGTTTTTATTTAGTCATTCAGCTAGCGATACGGCAAACTTGACAATTTATTGATCCTAAAAATGTTTAACTAAATTTAGACAGCTTTAACTAACCCACTTATAAATATGTATTTATATTTCCATTTCGGATTTCCTATTGGTCGATCGCTAGATTTCACTGTCATTCATCTAGTACGGCTCGCTTTTTGAATGGTGTGCATTTAACTGGGCATATTTACGGACTAGAAAACATTTCTGACACATTCGAATGCTCAATGAATGTTACTCAATGGACTCGCAAATATATTTAGCTAAGAACTGCCTTAACTAAAAGTTTTATTTAGATTTTTAGTTGAATAAAACATTCTTTGTTGTTTATTTATTTTTCTAAGTGAAACATTCCATTCTGCTTGGATAAAGTTTTTAACTGTTCAGCACATTCACTAAATTTCGTTTATGAAGGTGCAATTAGACAGTTTTTCACAAATCTTTCTCTATTCTCAGAGTTATGGGACTTAAAACATAACTCATGCTAGGGTTCATGCAATAGAGCATCATTTCGAACATTCTTCAACTTTGGATCCTGAATCAAGGTACAGTGAAATGAGCATGATTACGACTATGTAGTTGCGACACAATTCGCAGTTATTTATTACGGAATCTATTTTGCATAGTATTGAACGTTGACAATGCACATGAATATTCCTCTGAATGCCCATTCCGCCCGAAGGAAAGCCTGCCCCCTTTTGCGACCTGGCACACTTTCAGCGTTTCACGTTTGGAGTCTTTGATCAAATCTGTGTAAAATGTAAACTGCCTTTTCCTTGACCAGTTGTTGTTGTTGTTTTTGTTATTGTTATTTGTTCGTTTGTGCGTCTGCATAAATTAAATTAAGTCTGAAATTGGCGCTGCAGTTGCAGCCAATTCCTTGGGGAACATGTGGAGCTTGTCCATCTGCGACTGCTGCTGCTCCCGCGCCTGCTCCCTGTCCAGCTACCGCTCCTGCTGCTGCTCCTGTTTCTGTTGTTGCTGCTGTATGCGTAATTAACTTGTTGCCATAATTGCTCACTTTTGCATTTGTGTGTTGCATGTGACACGCTGCAACAACATCAAGACCAGGACGCAGACGCAGAGCCAGACCCTGGCCACAGCCCATTGGCGAGTGCTACAAATTTTCTGTATAAGTCATTACACACCTCAACACACACTTTACTTTATGGCTGAGCCATACACACTCAGAGAGAGTCACCGACTGACCCTTATAAGCGACCAAACGGTAACGACGTGACTTTTATTATGCGCACGAAACAACGCTGGCGATTTGGAGCTGGAGGGGGGGAGCCTACGCGCTGGAGCTGAAGAGGTGCAGCGAGACAGTGGAGAAACATTTGGCGCCGCAGCAATTAGTTATCAAAGACGTCGCGCATTGACAAGCAAAAGTCAAAGCACTCTTCGAACCACCCAAAAAAAAATTAACAAGACTCCTCTAGTCGGCTGTGCCCGACTACAAGATACCCTGAGCCCATCGCCAGGCGGGCATTACAAGAACAGGCATCTTCACCTTGATTAACTTTGGTTCTTATAGTCCGATCCTTAGGAAATTTATTGAACTAGAACTGGAACTGTCTGCATAATTTCATTTTAATATGAATGTATTCCTATTTAGAGCTAGAGTATACAAAAAGTGGCATACTCTTAATGTAAGTATGGCATATGAAGGTCTACATACCAAGTATATAGCTCTTATAATCTTCGAGATATGCATAACAAAACAAGTATCCAAAACGCTATATATCGATATTATAAAAATGGAAGGAGGTATACAAGAAATATGGTATACCTATTCGGCGTTTGGTATTCGAGAATATATATTTTCAATTCTCTAGATCTCTCGTCATCCCGCTCAATAGTATAAATCTAGACTTTCTGCCTGTTACATACATTTGCACAAGAACATTATACCCCTTCCAGCCATTTTCAAGTTCAAGGTATATAAAAATGAAGAGCAGCAAGGCTATATGCGGATTATACCTCGTATATATATACAATATAATAAAGGTTAATATAAATGACTCATGT